GTGGCCACACACCTAACAGTGTATAGGCAACAATAATGACACTTGATGGTTTGTTAGGGGGAAAAAAAAAGGACACAGGTTGAGTAAGTAAAATTGGGGGTGGATGGATGAAGAAAAGGTTAGGGGAGGGGACGAATATAGTCAAAATTCAATGTATGAAATTCTCAAAGAGATAATAAATATTTAAATTTGAATTTTATTTTCAAATGGATTTTCTATAGCAAGGAGCAATATGTGAACGTCACACAAAGGAAATTGGCAAAGAAAAAAATTAAACACTAAATTACAGTCGCTATACATCAGCAATAGAGCTGGGAAGAGAAAAATGACTTAACACAAGAATTGAGGTACAAAAAATATTACGTTAATTGCCAATTTAAAATGGATCACTGGTTTGTAAAATGATAAGAAAAAAAGCACCAATAAATTGATGCATCTTTTCAGAATTTTAATTTAAGTAATTCTGTTCATTTTGTTTTGTTTTGTTTTTCTGTTGTTGTTTTTCGAGACAGGGTTTTTCTGTGTAGCTTGGGAGCCTGTCCTGGAACTCACTTGGTAGCCCAGGCTGGCCTTGAACTCACAGAGATCCGCCTGACTCTGCCTCCCGAGTACTGGGATTAAAGGCGTGCGCCACCATTGCCCGGAGTAATTCTGTTCTTATTTAAAAAAAAAAAAAAATAGGGGCTAGAGGGATGACTCAGTGATTAAGAGCTCTTAATGCTCTTGCAGAGGCCTGGCTGTGGATCCAAGCACACACATCAAGCAGTTGCTAACTACCTGTAACTCCAGTTCCAAGAGCTCCTCATCTGGCCTCTGCAGGCACGTGGTACACAGAAATTCATACAGGCACACACAGACAAAGGAAGGAAATCAGAGAAAGGGGGAAGAAGAAGGAAAATTAGACAGAGTTTTTCTGTCTACCACCTTGATACACACATAAAAACAAAACCCAAGCATAATAAATTGGGTTATGCCTAAGACTCTTCCACATTTACAACATAGTTCTGGACAATCATTTGTGCAGTTACAGTCATGGTATCCATATTTCTCCAGAAAACACTGATTAGTATGTTTTCTGCATTAGTGACACATCACTTTTTAAAATGGATCCAAAAAAAATTAAATGGTTGCCCCTAGAGACTCAGGGGCATGAGGTACAGTTATGAGGTACAGCCCGGTCGACTCTTGCTTCTGAAGACTGGTAAACCACTAAATACCTCATTCATTTCTCACCCCTTTCCACATCCCCACAACCATTTAGACCTCATTGTCAAGGGTAGGTTTCTGATGTTTCTAAACTTTTTGTTTGGCATGTTGATTAAGGTTTCAGAAGGTCTTACTATGTATCCCTGCCTGTCCTTGAACTCACAGCAATCCCCATTCCTGTTTCCCAAGTATTGGTGTTATAGGTATGCACCACCACATCCAGCTTTCTGGAACTTTCTCAATTGTGGCTACCTATTCAGTAAGGAACTGGTATTGGTTTTTATATTTGTACATGAGAAGCAATAGCAACTACTGGCCCCTGAAAAACAATTACTGGAAGATGCTATTGACTTCATGCTCCACACACTACCAGGATGCATGCAACCAAAGCATACATAGGTATTAAAGAAAGCAGGAAAGGACTTAGTCCAGATTTTGTGAGCTTCTAATTTTCAGAACAATTTTTATTTATTTCTATTAATGAATTAATTCTCTCAATGAACTAACAGAAATATATTTTAAAGAAAAACTATTTGTAGAATATTTATAGCTTTCTCTTTATTACATGAGTATACAGACTATACATTTACAGATTTTTCTACAGAGACTTTTTAATACAGACATAATTTCCTTCTCCCACATACTTAAACACAGATAAACATATGTTTCTTGCAACACCATTTAAAACTGCCAGAATTCAGAAGCAATTCAATGTTTCATTAACAGGGGAAAGGTAAGGGCATGGTATATATTTTATGAAGTAAAAATCAGTTACACCTATGTGAACTGACAGAGATATATCCAAATATTGGGCAAGTAGGAAAAGTTATTTGATGGATGTATGGCTCAAGAGGCCCCACCGTAAAAAAGGTTCTATTGTCAATTGATTGCATCTGGGCAAGGTTTCCCTTAAGGGTGTGGCCCCAGGTATGTCCACCAAGCTATAGTGCATAGCCTCATACCCAGGAATATGTAAGTATCACAAATTGTACCTGACGGGGTTTTTTTTTTTATTTATTTATTTTTTATTTTTCAAGACAAGGTTTCTCCGTGTAGTTTTGGTGCCTCTCCTGGATCTCACTCTGTAGACCAGGCTGGCCTCGAACTCACAGAGATCTGCCTGGCTCTGCCTCCGGAGTGCTGGGATTAAAGGAGTGCACCACCACTGCCTGGCCCTGATGGTCTTTTAAGAGGGTAAGAGAATCACAAAATTGGGATGGTGGGTAGGAGTGAGGATGAATATGATCAAAATGCACTGTATGAAATTCCCAAAGAATTAACAGAAATATATTTTAAAGAAAATCTATTTGTAGAATATTTATAACTTGCTCTTTATTACTTGAGTATACAGATTATACATTTATAGATTTTGGTAAATTTATAGAAAAATATTTTGCAAAGCAAGTTACAGGAAAGTACTTATATCTCTTTTATGTTTTATGCATAAGCAAGTATGTTCCACCTAGTCACCTATGAAGATAAATATAAATACACAGAACTGGAACTAAGGAATGGAGTTGGGAGTGAAGGAAAGGAAAGGAGAACATTTTTGCTATTTTTATTCTGTGTATAAACTATATATGGGTATGGATCTGTAATGGGTGAACTTGTTACAAAGTGCCATGACTCATGATCCTAAATTTTACACAGAAACAAAAATACATCACTCTATCACATGGCATAAGCTTAGTCACTAAGAACATAACTAACTTAAGGTTTGAGAGATATGTTTGTTCAATGTTCAAACTAAATCTGGAAAGTAGGTAGGAAAATTCCACTGGGCCCAATGCCATGAATAGTACAGTTTATCAATCGCAGAAAACATGTCAATAAATTCAAAAGTAACTTTACACTTCAAGTTCACTGAAAACCATTGATTCTCCTCACTACCCAATGTTGAATCAAAGCACTCTCCTCAGTAATGAAATTATGCTCTTTGCACTTGTTTTAGATGTACAACAAAAGCTCTCCTACACAGCTAAGATAGAAACATAAATCTATGTGGACAATCCATATGAGACCAGAGACATATAAAGTAAAAACACTTGTGATCAAATAAATGAATACTTCACTGTCAGGAAACATATGCTGCCTAAGGAATACATAGATGCATGAATTGAAATGATACAGTATAGATAATACACACATAGACTGAAATTATATCTACCGATTTCTTTTTTAGAGCTAACAGGTAACTTTTTTAGATGACTGACATTTTAGCTTCCCAAGGAAATCTATGTCTAGAATCCTTAAAAATAAAACAAAATTTAAAAAATTTAAAAAAAAACTTTATTTCAGGAATTGTGTAAACAATAATACTTCAGATTGGGGGAAATTGCTCTTTCCTAACAATACCCAAGTCAGTTTTCAAAAACTGACTGGATAAAGTGAAACAGGAACCCAGTGCATGGGTCTTCAATGAATGACAGTGGATTCATACAATGACTATTCACTTAAGGTAATACTTATCCAACAAAACTGTATATGCCTCAGATTTTCAGGTACCTTTGTTCTTCATAACCAAGATGCACTTCCTAATTAACTCATTAACAGTCAGGTTAATAGCCAGAACTAGGAGTGTAATATATTAGTAATATTCAAAGATCATTAGCTTGCTGAAGAGAGAGGAAGTAACCCACTTTCCTCAGTAGAAATAATTGTTCTTACAATAATAACAAATATACTCAGTAATAATAATGATGCACAATAACTATTCATAAAGTAAGGGCAATGTTCATTCTCTGAATAATGCCCTACTATTGTACACAATTGTGCAGTATAATCACAATTGTAATAATAATCAACAATGGCTATTCACACAATAGACTGTTACTCAGCAATATAGATGAACTAGACACAGGCAATAACATGGATGAATCTCTGTAACACTAGGTTGGACAAAAAGAGACAAACACGAAGAATATACGTGAAACTCCATTTCCACAAAACCCAGAAACATGGACAGCTAATCTAATCACAATCAGAAAGCGACTAGGCTTAGAGCAGAGAGAATGGACAGGCAGAAAATGAACCAGAAAAGGCCTGCAGGAGTGATTAAAATGTTCTGCATCTTGTTTTGTATAGTGGCTATATGAATATATGGGGCTGTCAAAAACCCATCAAACCGAACACAATAGCTGTGCATTTTATGGTACATAAATTACATCACAACAAAAACGTGTGGTTTTAAATGTAACCATTCAAGAGTGATTTGCCAAAGTAATGTTCTTGAATTCGGGGGGTGGGAGGTGGGAAATACACTTTAGATACAACAAATCATTTGATATTTAAATTTTCCATTACAGCTGAGAAATAAGCAGTCACAGATGTGTGGTTATAGAATTATGATTGTGAGCTAAAAGGAGAGCAACCACGCCTCTAGGTTGACTGCGACAGACCCCCAGGTAGACGTGATGCCATAGCACATTGTTCACAGCGCCTGCTTCATCACAGAGTCCCCTGACGTAGAGGACCTTTGGGGTCACTTATCTAACAGGGACTTTCAACGTCATGAAGTACAAGTGCCTTCACTTTCCCAATCAACCCCCAAGGACTAAACAAAACTGAGCATGATCTTTCATTCTTGTTAACATTTTACATTCCACAATCAAAGTCTGACTCCATGGGTTTCTCTGAAGTTTACATCTGAGGACAAAATTGAATGCCATAGAACCCAACCTATCCTTAAGGAAAGTAGAAAACAAGCTTAGGGGGAAATGTTAAAAAGAAGAGAAAATTAACTATGTAAAAGAATATAAGGATAGTCACAAATACAAAATATAAGAAAGCTTTACCTGCTGCCCTGTAAAGTATTTTAGGTTCAAAAAATATACATGGATTTTTATCTTCTATGCATGACAATAGCAGTCCCTTGGCCTGGAAAGGGCTTCTGGGTATAACCACCTGCAAATACACACAAGTTTAGTAGGATACATCCCCAGTAAACCCATTTCTAAGGGTTGATCCTTAACCAAGTGTAACTAATTCAACTAATGACCCAGGTATTTGTTTATATTACAAAGTTTAAGCACTGTCCCTCAGAAATCTCTTTGTCCACAGTATTTCTAAAATGCTGTCCACATTCTGATAACTAAGATGCTGATCTTCCTAGCAGAAAGGGACCCCTTTCTGCACATAAAAAGAAAGCCAAGAGAAGTGTCCATCACTAAGTGCCACCTCCTACTAACGATGTTACCACTTGCAAATGTCAAGTACCACAATCCCCTTCCTTCTGATGGGCAAATGCAACCTGCACTTCAGAAGGGAAAAAGCAATCCACTGAATTTTGCGGACCAGATATCCTAGCATCCAGTTGCACAGAGAAGAAAAAAGCATGGCTATTCCGCATCTCTGGTGGACAAGCAAGGGCTCCAAGACCTTCAGGAGGGGACACTGCCCAAGGTCACAGAGCTTGCTAGGACAGAGATTCTTATTCTGTTCTGATGCGCCCAGGAGACCACACTCTTGACCACGGTTCTTCAAATCACAAATCTGTACCTAAATTTTCATGACTGTAAAGTAACTGCGGAAGAACAAACTTTACTTTGGAAGGATTATTAGAATAAGCCTAGACCTACTACAAAGATCAAACAAGACTCCTTGAAACAAACCACCTTTGGGTTTCAAACTCACTATTGTGGTTTTTTTGTTTGTTTGGTTGGTTGGTTGGTTGGCTTTGTTTTGTGGAGCTGGGAATCAAATCCTTAGCTTACACATACTAGGCAAGTGGTCCACCCTGAGCTACATCCCCAGCCCTTAATCTGATTGAGAGAAAGCCATGCTAGGTAGACCAGGCTGGCCTCAGACTTTTTGGGTTTTTTTTTTTTTTAGTTTGTTTGGTTGGTTGGTTAGTTGGTTGGTTGATTGGTTGGGGGTTTTTTTGGTTTTGTTTGAGACAGGGTTTCTCTGTGTAACTTTTGGAGCCTCTCCTGGAACTCACTCTGTAAGACCGGGCTGCCCTCTAACTCAGAGATCCGTCTGCCTCTGCCTCCCGAGTGCTGGGATTAAAGGTGTGCACCACCACTACCCAGCTGGCCTCAGACTCTTAATCTACTGCCTTGAGGGAATTGTGTCATTTTTTTTTTGTTTTGTTTTGTTTTGTTTGGTTTGGTTTGGTTTGGTTTGGTTTGGTTTGGTTTGGTTTGGTTTTTCGAGACAGGGTTTCTCTGTGTAGCTTTACACCTTTCCTGGAACTCACTTGGTAGCCCAGGCTGACCTCGAACTCACAGAGATCCGCCTGGCTCTGCCTCCTGAGTGCTGGGATTAAAGGCGTGCGCCACCACCGCCCGGCGAATTGTATCATTTTTAACAAAAGACTTTTGTTTAAAATTAAAACAGTAAAAATCTCTTTATTAACCATATCACACAATGCCTTTATGCTTCTAATCTTTAGTTTCTCCTTGCTTTATTTATTTGTATCAGCCTTAGTGTGTGTATATATATAATTTCAAGTTTAAAAATAAGAAACAGAAAACAGACAGTAGAAGATTAAAAGTTCTACTGTTTAAAAACTCTAGGATATGGTGTAAAAACATTAAATATGATGAACATCCTACTCAAACTCAAAAATAAGTGCTGCCTCCAGGTGGCTCTTGTCCAAAAGTATCAGAAAAGCATATGGCTTCCCTTCAACTGGGAGAAACATTATTATGATCCAGCAGGAAAAAAAAAATAAGGAAAAAAAAGTACACATTTTACAATTGATTTGTGTTGTCAAAAACAAACATGCTTCTCTGAATTTCTGTGATTCCCTGGAAAGCTGTTTGGTGAATATCAAGAGAGAAAACACTCAAAATATTTGTACCATCCAAAGACTTGAGCTATTACAGAAGACAGCTACATTTGGAAGACTCTTCCAAGCAGACTGAGTAGTTAGTTACCTTACTCTAGATTGGAAAAGATTCCCATCTATATAACAGCTTTCTCTCCGTCTCCTTAAAACCTGAAAACTGAGCTAAAAGCAAGCATGACTTTGAGGTAAATATTGACTAAACAGTAGGTTTTATTAAAAGTACCCCAAAATCAGTTCAATGAGAAAAACCCATAAGAAAGAATAAACTAGAGCTTTAGGAGAAAGTCACACCCTTTAGAATCTATGGAGTTAATGAATGCCAACATCGTGCCAGTGCTGCTTCAGGAAGAACATTCTAGAAACCTGGGTGTTATCGAGTTACGTTAAAAAGAAATGCTAACAACCTCCCTGTCTCAAATATAGTTAAGTTCCTATCAGTTCCAAAGTCCTGTTTGTCTTCCCTCGGGTAAGGTCACTGGCTAATACTAACAGCATGAGCAAAGGTGGAAACAGCAAACGATGATCAAATCCAGGAAGTAAACAAGAATACCTTGATTCCTGGGCAATGGGCAAAAAAGGCTTCAGGACTCTGAGAATGGTAGAGAGCCCCGTGGCCCACACAGCCCCATGGGGCCCGGATGGTGAGGCTCCCGCAGTTGAAAAGATCGCCAGAGCGGTAGCGGTACTTGGCAGCTTCGTTGACAATCTGCGGAGAGAAGAGGAAGCCATAATGACTCTTTCCTGCCCAGTGCGTGTCCTCCAAGCATGCCGCTGGATCTTCAAATGCATTCCCATTACAACTGCAAAGCACCCACCCAAGGCAACAGGTGCTGAGGGCAGGGCGGGGGTGGGTGGGCAGCGCCTGTATTTGAGCCCTCAGGGACTGACCCTAAGAGATGCCCTTCCCGGCAAAGCATGAGGCGCCTACCTGATCAAAGGCGGGGAAAATATAGTCGGCAAACTGGATTTCCGCAATGGCCGTAGCACCAGTGACTGCGATTCCGATCCCAAATCCAACAATTCCTTGTTCACACAACGGGGTGTTAAACACTCTATCTTTTCCTTTTTAAAAAAAAATAATTAATTAATAATAATAATAGGAACAGAAATAGAAAAAAATCTAATGCAGCAAATTAAAGCACTGCAACATACAATACATCTGACAACTGGGTGGGATAAAGAAATAAGGGACAGGTAGAGGAAACCGTAGACAGCATTATGACTGACTCAGTACATAATTGTATTAAACATAAGAAACCTCAATATACCAATTAGAAACACTGTCACACTGATATTGTTTTGAAAAGCAGAATCCTGCTATTTGAAGGGAAACCGTAAATAAAAAAACTATACAGTAAAAACCATAACCAAAAGGAAGTAGACATCACACTATCAATAGCAGATGTTAAGGGCAAAGGCCTGACTTAATAAGGCACAATTCATACCGTTAAAGGGTTGAATTCACAAAGTCTTAAGAATGGTACAACAAGCACCAAGCAGTTGGGAGTAAACGACACAGCCAGATGGAACACAGGCAGGTACATAAGTCAGTATGGGATTGAGACACCACACTGTCTGGGTAACCACAGAAAAAATACCCCCAAAAAGAAAGGGGGCTTTTCAAACATAGCTATAACACAAGAAACAATGTGACTTAACTGACATCTGCAGATACCAGTGCCTGCACCAAGCGCTCTAATCCTGACAGGAACGGCCCAACCCTGTTTGCTGGGCTATCACACTATCTCAACAAGTTCAGAATGTCTCAAAGCGAAAGACTTGGATGTGGGAAAGAGACTTGTTGGAGGAAGTGGAGATACGTAGCGGGTAGGAGGGGGCTGAGAGAAGTGAGAAAGAGGAATCAGGATGCACTTTACATATGAATGAAATTGTCAAATAGCAAATTCAGTAAGAATTATTTATAAGTATGTTCTCTGGCCATGGTGGGATTGCACTAGAAATCAGTAACAACACCAACAACAACAAAAAAGGTAAGAAAATCTGTATGTGGTACTGGAGATCTCTGTAGCTCTTGTCTAAAATATGAGGCCTTAGGCTCAAGTCCCAAAATTCAAGAAAAAACAAAATATGAAGGGAAGGGAGGGGAGAGGAGGAAAGCAAGAAAACTAGCCAATTACTTTGCTGTGGTTTGGTCGTAAAACATCCCCTATAGGCTCATGTGTTAGAATACCATCACCCCATCCTACCACCCCCATGCCCAAGCTTAGCAGCCCTGTTGGGGAAGGATGTGAGCCTTTAGGAGGTGGGGCCTTTCTGAAGGAAATAGGTTCCTGGTGACAAGCTCTGAGCTATCCCCACTTCCTCTTCCCTCTCTACTCTAGTTATGAAGCAATATGACCAGCCAAGCCTCCCACTCCGTCACCAAGCCTTCCCTGTGGCTGTCATGTCTTCCCCGCTGTGACGGACAGTACCACTGGGCCAAAATAAAGCCTTTCCCTCCTAAGCTGCTTTAATCAGGTTGTTTTATCACAGCAACAAAAGGAAGGGAGGGAGGGAGGGAGGGAGGGAGGGAGGGAGGGTAAAGAGAAGAAAAAGGAGGAGAGATGAAATACAGTTTGTGTTAAATCTATGGCCACACCACCCTGACTGTGCCCGATCTCGTCTGATCTCAGAAGTTTGTGTTAGAAAGCTTACTAAGTGCATATCTATAATATGTAACTCAAAAAAGAAAAAACGGAAATTAGAAAAGGTGTTTGAGTGAATAACTAAACTCTATATCTGAACTTACTGAACTTCTGAAGATAACTGCAGAGTTGCTTCTTTCAAACCAACCCTCCTCTATTTACTAAAATTCCAGGCAAAAAGCAATCAATTTTTAGAGGCACTGGAAAGCTAAAAGCAGGCATAAACTGAACACTTGAACCTTGAAAGAAGGGACACAAAGTAAATAATGACAGTTAGAAGGCATGCCCAAAGGGACTCTCCACTCTGTGTCAGAGACTGCTAGAATCCAGACAGACAGACTATAGTAATGGGTGTCAAAGAACAGCATCTGAGGAGGCCAGTAACTGCAAACCAAGAAAGTACATCCCGTTTATGCACAAATTGGTGGGAACTCACTGACACCTGTACCTGCACACCTGTGCCTGCACACGTGGACCTGTACACCTGGACCTGCACACCTGTGCCTGCACACCTGGACCTGCACACCTGTGCCTGCACACGTGGACCTGTACACCTGGACCTGCACACCTGTGCCTGCACACCTGGACCTGCACACCTGGACCTGCACACCTGTGCCTGCACACCTGGACCTGCACACCTGTGCCTGCACACCTGGACCTGCACACCCGGACCTGCACACCTGGACCTGCACACCTAACTCAGTAGAAAATAGCCTCTGGAATTAAAAGAGCTAAGCAGAAGTTTCTCCTGTGCCCACTAAAGAGAACACAAGAGTATAGAATCCTAGTCTCTTTAAGTTAGAGCAGCTTCATGCAGTTTAGGGAATACACTATTGAATAACGAATGGGTCGCCAAAGGAACTAAGAGGGAAATTCAAAAATTCCTATAACTAAACAAAAGGAAAAACACACCATATCCAAACCTATGGGATACAATTAAATCATGAAATCAATCCTGGGGGTGGGGGGAGTTTCTAGCTACAAGGGTCTACTTAAAAAAAAAAAAATCAGAGAAATCTGAAATAACTAAATGATGCACCTGAGGGAATTGGACAAGCAAAAACAAGCCAACTCTAGAAATGGTAGGTGAGAAGACAAATTAGTAAAATGAGAGAGAGAAAAAAGAATTAAAGAAACCAAGAGTTGGTTCTTGGAAAAGATAAATAAGGTTTTCATATCCTTAGATAAACTAACCAAAAGAAAAGGGAAAAATTACAACAGATACCAAGGAAATTCAGAAAATCATCATGACAAACCTTAACATATTCCATTAGGTGGACATGGTCACAGAGACAGACCTTTGACACCAGCATGTAGGAGGCAGAAGCAGGTGGATCTCTGTGAGCTCAAGGCCAATGTGGTCTACACAGCAAGTTCCAAGCCAGCCAGAGCTATAAATTGAGACCCTGAGTAGCTGGAGTATTTTTGTGTCCACCCAGCTCCTGCAGCCGTTCAGATCCAATTAAACACACAGACGCTTATATTATTTAAACTGTTTGGCCTAATGGCTCAAGCTTCTTGTTAGCTGTTCTTACATCTTAAATTAACCCATTTCTATAAATCTATACCTTGCCACATGGCTCGTAGCTTACCGGTACTTTAAATCCTGCTCCCCATGGCGGTGGCTGGCAGCGTCTCCCTCAGCCCTCTCCTACCCAGCATTCTCTTCTCTCTTGTCCTGCCTACCTATACTTCCTTCCTGGCTGCTGGCCAATCAGCGTTTTATTTATACAGGGCATCCCACAGACGCTGCCAGCCACAGCAATGAGGAACAGGAAGTAAAGTACCGGTAAGCCACAAACCATATGGCAAGATATAGATTAATAAAAATGAGTTAATTTAAGATAGAAGAACTAGATAGCAAGAAACCTGAGCCATTAGGCCAAACAGTTTAAATAATATAAGCGTCTGTGTGTTTATTTTACAAGTGAGCTGCAGGACTGCCGGGGCTTGGCGGGACCCAGAGAGAAACTCTCCAACTACAACCCTGTTTAAAAACAAAACAAACAAATCATACCTCCTTAAATTGGAAAATCTAAGAGAAATGAATGAATCTCTAAATGCATATGACCTACCAAAATAATCCCAGATGACACCACTAACTGCGTCTAATACATTTCTAAGAAGCAATGAGACTGAAACAGTAATAAACCTCCAAACTAAGACTGGGGAGACAGTTCAGTCAGGAAAGCAGTTGTCTTTCAAACATGAGAACCCAAGTCTACTCCCCAAAACCCACATTTAAAAAAGCCCTCCATCCCCTTGGGACTTGGCCACTTGGTGTGGACCCAGGGTCCCCTCTGTCTTCCCTGCCACTTTTCCAGTCATTTCTTCTAGCCCACCTCCATTCCTTTTGTGACTCCCTCTGACCCACAGGACAGCTTTCTACCAGCAACCCCACAGCTGCCACACTAAGCTGGGACTTGAGTATGCTATGTGCGTCCTCCTTCCCTCATCTCCTAGCACACCACTGTCCTCCTGAGACTTGGCCTCTTGCTGCAGAATTAGGGTCACCCTAGCTTTTGACTGACATCCTTCATTCTTTCTAGGCCATCTCCAACCCTTTGTGAACCCCCACCAATCCACAGAACAAGGTCTCTGCTAAGGACCAACAGCTGCATACTTAGCTGAGACTCAGAACCACTCTCTTTCAGGGAACCCACAGCCACCACACTTGGCTGGGACATAGCCACCTCCATTCTTTGGTGACTCAATACCAACTCACAGAACTGCTCTCTAACGAGGACCCACAGCTATCACGTTTGGCTAGGACCCAGAATGTGATAATAACAACTGTCTTAGGGTTTCTTCTATTGCTGTGAAGAGACACCATGACCATGGCAACCCTCATAAGGAAAACATTTCATTGAGGGGGGCTCACTTACAGTTTCAGAGGTTTAATCCATCATCCTCATGGTGGGGAGCAGATAGACATGGTACTGGAGAAATAGCTGAGAGTCCTACATCTTACAGTCAACAGGAAGTCAACTGAGACACTGGGCAGGAATCTGAGCATAGGAAATCTCAAAGCCAGCCCTCACAGTGACACACTTCCTCCAACAAGGCCATACCCACTCCAACAAAGCCACACCTCCTAATGGTGCCACTCCCTATGAGATTATAGGGGCCAATTACATTCAAACTACCATAGCAACCAAAGAAATGAACACCTACCCAACATAAAACCAGATATCTACACTAAGAACAGCACAACCTTCACAGCTCCAGATGCCTCACAATCTCAGCTCAAAACCACAAACATGAACCACCGAGACATAATGTGCCTCCCCCAGGAGCCAAAAATCCCATTGCAATAGGCCCCAAGAAAAGCAACTTAGCTGAGGCACTACACTAGATCTTCAAAACAGCAGTTATGGATATGTTCCAGGACCTTAAAGAGGACATGAATATATCCTT